AGAGAAAATAAGGAAAATAAATGCATACCTTTACTAAGCAATTTTTATGTCCAGGCACTGAACCATTTACATAGATTATATTGTGTTTTGTGTTTATTCTCCAGACCTAAAACAGAAAATAAGATCAACTTTTAAGAGTTAAAGCTTTGAGAATATACTTAAGTATTACTAAGAGTGGGGAAAATAGCCTGTATAGTAATAATCATATTAGCACTATGAAATGTCAAATAAGCAGGGAAAAATTTCAAATCCTATTGGATGACTTGGAATATAAGATTATTACAGATATCTATGTCTTAATGAAGTGGTAGAAAATTCTCACTTTAAATAGAAATGTAACTGATGATCAAGACTTAATAAGACTCTTGGCACCATTAAGAATTTCGTTTTGTTTCAAGTTCCCATACCTAGAAATTCAGAATCCACTACTGGCTCTAATTTCTATATAAATGGGCTGAACAGACATCGCAGGGCATCCATCTGTAGACTGCCTGTTTTAAGACTTTTTGGGGTCCATAATCAAGTGAGTCAACTCCCCTAATAAACATCTTACTATAAATCATCTATTCCCACGCACCCTCTCTTCCTTCTCTGGCCAACTCCAATATCATTATATAAAATTTGCGAGCTTTTGTTGCTCAAAATTTATATATGATATATATGTAGAGGTAGGAAACATGCACCAAAATGTTAACTGGTAATTATCTTTGGTTGTTGTTCCTATGGGTCACTTTATTTTCTTTTGCTTTTGAAATACATGTGCAAACATACATAAACATTAATTACTTTAGCAAAATCTTATTAGATAACCACTATTATAATACAACTTATTATATATGTCTCAAGTTAGTATAGACTGACATTTTCAGTGCTATCTTTTCCCTTTATTTTGACTGTTTCTCTCTGATATCCACTTCTATCCACCCAAACTTTGGCATATAATCCAAGAGAACCTGATATATAATGTTTCATTTTTCTTTGTGATTATATAATAGCAAATAGTTTTTAGCAACACATATGGGTAGGGAGCATCTATCTACTTGTTACAAAAAGAGTGTTATACCTAACGGACTAAATCTTTTCTTTCTTTTTTTTTTTTTGCAGAACCGGGGATTGAACTCAGACCCTTGCGCTTGCCAGGGAAGGACTAAATCTTTTCCTTCTGTAATATTTTGTGGAAATCTACCAATTCAAATAAAATTTTTTCTTTTTTAAGGCTGTATAACCCATGGCTTAGATGTGAAGTGACTATATATTACTATTCCACTATGACTATTATCTCACACAACTCATATAACCTCAACCCCTTAAACTGTAGAGTATATTAGAACAGCACACAAACATGTATTAAATAGATGCTCTGACGCTTTGCATGTTCCTGAAAGAGACACATTAAACCTACTTTCAGTCCAAATGATGTCCTATATCTGTTTCCCATTTGTCCAGGCATTTTAGTTCCCGGCCAGACTCTGGCAATGTCCTAAGGGACAGAATGAAAGCAGTTTTCATTTCTTTTAATTTCAAACAGTATTGATCAAATCACAAACCAAACTAAGAACAGGAATTAATAATAAGTTCTACTTTCCCCCTATTCTGGTAGGTCCAGTGAAGGAATGAACATAGATTTAGACACATTTATTCTTAGAGGATTTTTTTTTCTAAATTAGAGAAAACAAATTAGATACATACAAATAAATTAGACAAAATAAATACAGAGTAAGAAATAGATTTAGGAAAGGCAAATTCAGTAATGAGAGAAGTAAATGACCTAACAGTGGCTATGAATAAAATAGAGGAAATATATACACACCACACCACCATTCAAAGGAAATAGTGGACGGTGGCCTATTTTCAGTTAATCTTCCGTATCAAACTGGCTTCATTCATATGAATGATGCTAAAAGGTTCTGTTTGCTTTTGATGTTACTCTCAACTAAAATGATTAAAGAGAATTAGTTATTACAATAGTTTGTCAAGCCCTGATTGTCTCTGATTTATATAAATCAAAGAACTTCACAAAGTCTGATTTTAAGCTCTAATAATGGACAATAAATCTGTATCTAAAGCATGAATTACATTTAAAATGAGGAAGCTTCCCATGATACATGATTTTAAAATATATCCTAAAGAAAAATTTCATTAAATGCAGCTATTCCCTTCTAGATATCTTCCTGAAAGAGTTAAAACTATTATATTACACTGATTCATGCATTCTAGTTTTTATAGCAGCACAATTCACATTAGCTAAACCCTGAAAGTATCTGACATGCCATGAACAGATGAATGGATAGAGAAAATGTGACATTTTACAGTTTAGAACTACGCTGTAATAGAAAAGGATAAACTTTAGTCATCTGTAGGAAAATAAAAACAGATGTACCTTGAGACAACATTGTGAAATAAATCAGATGTACAAGCTTAAATATCACATGGTTTGTCTTATATGAGAAATCCAAAACACAAATAAAGAGCAAGAGAGATAATGAGAGGAAATAGATCTTTTGGAAAATGGAAGAGGACCCAGAGATAGAAGGAGAGGAAGCGGCTTGAAAAAAAGGAACTAAGGTGTGCTACATGCATGTACCAACTCCCTGTGAGGAATGCACTCATTAACAACTGAAAACACGTACCAGTAAGAACAAAAAAATACAAAGAAGATAATTCTGGATATTTCATGTTATGTATTCATTGTAGATACATATACTGCAATAAGCACTGTACTTTATTAAAGACTCACTTAGTTTTTCTAGCCCACTTTACTTTTCTTTATCCAGTTCTTAGGAATATAAAGGCATTTACTAGCCAATCAAGGAAAGTTTATACACAAAAACAAACAACATACAGCATGACAAATAATAACTTCAGTCATAGGAATGGGTCCTTTTATAAGCCCTATTTAAAAAAAGTTTGGCCGGGTGTGGTGGTGTACACCTTTAGTACCAGGACTTGAGAGGCTGTGGTAGAAGGATCTGTGTGAGTTCAAGGCCAGCCCAGGCTTTCAAAGTGAGTTCAAGACCAGCCTGAACTGCATAGTAAAACCTTATTCAAAAAGGCAAAATAAAACAAACAAGAAAACTTTACTGAAGTTTAATTCACACATAACACATTTCACCCTATTGATTTACAACTGGATTTAGTATATTCAAGAGTTGTGGATTACTACAATCAATTTTAGAAAAAAATCAGCCTCAGACAGAAATTCCATACCCTTTGGTGGCCACTCCCCACTGCCACAGCATTGTGAAATCATTGACTTAATACTGTCTCCATAGACTTGCCTCAGTTAGACATCTTGTATACACTGAGGCCTAGAATGTGTGTTCTGGCTGCTTTCACTTAACAGAGTATTTTCAAGGTTCACTCATGTTGCAGAAGTATCAATTTCTCTTTCCTTTTTATTGATAAACATTGTGCTGTTACGTCTGGGTTGTTTCTACTCTTTGGCTCTTTTCAGTACGTTTGCTATGAACACTCAGGTATAAACTTCAGTGTGCATGCTTTCATTCCTTCGGGGTTTATCGCAGGAGCCAAACTAATTGAACACACAGCAACTGTACATTAAACTTTTTTAGCAAGTGCTAAACTTTTTCCCAATCAGACTATATCACTTTACATTCCTGCTACCAATGTATATTTCTCATATCCTTGTCCACATTTGTCATCACAAGCCTTTTTAAATTATGCTATACCAGCACACCCAAAGTACTATCTCATGGTGATTTGTATTTTCCTACTGGCTTAAGATGTTGAGACGCTTTTTATGTGCTTACTAGCTAATTACATCTATATCTTCTCTGTAAAAATATCTGTTCAGGTCCCTTATCATTTTGTAAATTGGATTATCCTTGTACTACTTTTTGTAAGAGTTCCATGTATATCCTAGATATGACCGATTTATAAATACTTCTTTCAATTCTATGAGTTATCTTCATTTTCTTGATGTCATTGCTTGAAACATCAATGTAGTCTTTCTGAAGTCAACCATCTACATATTTCTCTTTTGCTTCAATGCATGGTGCTATAATTAAGGTTTTTGCCTATCTGGAGGTCACAAAGATGTATTCCTGTATTTTTTCAAAAAGTTTCATAGCTTTGGTTCTTAACTTTATGTTTCTGATTTACTAATTTTGTAACATTTTTACATAAGGTAAATAATTTCATATTTATAAAAGCTGAAAAGTCAATATAAAAAACTGACAAACTACAAATTTCATTTCACTGAGCTATTCCCCTTCTGGTTATCTTCCGAGAAGAGTTAAATCCATCATACCACAGTGATATATGCATACCCATGTTTACAGCAGCACAATGTGTAACAGCTAGATCCTAGAAGAGGTGTGTATGTCCCCCAAGAGATGAATGCAGAGAGAACATGTAGTACTTACACACAATGGAGTATTACTCTGTTATAAAGAAAGATAAAGCTGAGTCATTTGTAGCAAAATGGCTAGACTTTGAGACCATATTAGTGAAATACATTAGACATATAAGCCTATATATCATGTGGTTTCTCTTATATGAGAAATTCAAATTCTAAAAAATAAAATAAGACAGGTAATTAGGAGTATGGAGATGGAGCTTTCTCAAATGGGAAAGAAATCAAGAGATGGGGGAAGGAGTTGGACAGAGTTGAGAAGTGTTATGTACATAAAGCAACTCCAAACAGAGAATGTGAAGATTATATACTACAAAATGCCCTAATTAAAAACAAACAAAAAAAGTGTGTGGGGAGGGGGCAAAGTGAAATCCAAATCTACAGAAATAAATTTAGGTGTCCTTGGAGGAAAAAAAAGACCTCTCATAATTTACTGCTAATTTACACTGCCTCATTTGCTGGGTACACTGTCCTTCATATTATCTGAAGTTAGGTGGCATACATGATGCTCCTTTAGGCATTTCAGTGTGTATTTCTTAACATCAACAGAAACATAGTACAATTATAAAACTCAAAAAAGTAAACACATAGTATCAAAGACCATATTTTAATTTTGCTATAAACTTTATAGCTATCTTTTCCTCCAAGTTAAAGATTCATTTCTGAATTACAAATTATACTTAGCTATCATATCTCACTAGCCTTGAATCTGATACAAATCAATTATTTGTCATCTTCATGACCTTGAACATTTTGAAGGGTATAATCTACTTCGTAGAACATCACCTTGGGGGTTTATCTGCTATTTTCCTAATAATTAGATTCAGGTGATGCAACACTTTTGGCAAGAATCAACAAAAATTTGATGTGTTCATTTTTAGGAACCACACCAGGAGCTAACTATGCTGGTTTACCCAATTATTGATGATGTATAACTGATTACGTAGTTAAGGGTGTTAGCTAGGGTAAACCTCTATGATTATTATTTTTTCCTTTGTAATTAATAGGCAATTTGTCTTTAGACTATGTAAATACGTAGTTTTCATTAAGCTTTTCTCATTTATTTTAGCATCTACTGACAAATTATGACCAAATTAGTTATTTCTATGATGGCTGCAAACAAAAACACTAACCCTAATATTCCTTCCCAAATCTATTAGCTGCCATTATACTGTAAAGAATAGCTTTCGTTTTTCCTTTTATTTACATACCTGTTGATTCAATTCATTCATATCAGTATAAATTCATATATTTAATTTTATTCAATCAATTCTGTTACTACCATTTTTTAGCTTAAGCACAAATTGTTTCAGGTTTGCCAACTAGAAGCCTGTTTGTTTGTTTTTTAATGTCCTTTTCATGCACCTACAATTACTTAACCACTTCATTTGCTTGTAAAAGTATTTTGGGTTCATCTTGTATTCTTTGAGTCCCAAGCATTATTAAGCTAATTATTCTAGGAACTCTTTTCAATGAAGAATGACATTTAGAAACTAAGTTGTCAAGCCTATCTGTGCTCACTGCAATGGAATACCTTTGCTCTTAAGTCATTCCAGCAGACATAAGACTCAAATAACACATACAAACATGCAAATCTACACACATTTCTGGTTCTTCATACGTATTCACACAGAATAGCACAGAAAGAGTAAGCACATGCATACCATTATTAACCCTTTCATATCTTAATGTCCTTCTCCCTTCCATACTGTCTCTACCCATCCTTTGCAAGTAGATCTCATTATATTCTGGTTTAATTTCTGGCCCTTTTTTTTTGTAAATATACAAAATATGTGTATTTATGAATATCCTGAAAATCACTTGCTTTACAATGACTTTCAGTGTCTTTTATAACTGCATAGTACTCTACTGAGTAGATATATTATCATTTATTAATCTCAATTACCAGGTATGGACATATATGTTTACTGATTACAAGTAAGGCTGCAATGACTGCCCTCATAAAAAAAAAAAACACTTTTAAGAATATTTTCAGGAGTAATGCCTAGAAGTAGGATTGCTGTGTAAATGCATGTGTAGCTCTATGAAGTGATGCCATACACTACTTCATTAGGGATGCACTATGTTGTATACCTATCAGCGACAGCATCTGTGCCCTTACTGAGTTTTCACCTTTCACTAGAGACTAAGACAAAAATTAAGCAGCTTGATAACATAACCTGCTAAATGAGAATTTAGTGCCTCAGAGTAGCTGTAGTCTGTATTTCTTTAGTATGAGAGACAGAATATATTGCCACCTGTGCATTACTGAGCCTACAAAGAATGAAATCGCCCTACGTGCTTTATGGTGTATCTCTGTAAGAATAAATTAGTAAGCCAAAGGGTCTTTACTCCATTTCTTAGGCTCTTTATTTTTCCATTTGTTTTCTATCATTTTCCTCCCATACCTTGGTACTGTCCTTGACTAGCTTTCTGCACTTTTTTGTAAGGGCAAACAAATACGGTGTGAGAAACGGAACCAGACAAAAAGGCATCCTTTCCTTTCATTTCTACAATGGCTTCAGTATTTCAGGAGGTCAAAGGGAAAGGAACAGGAGAAAGGTATTAAGAATATTTGGCATAAGTATGTTGGACAGAACTAAACAACTCAAGTCTGGCTCTGGAAAATATGGAAAGCCAGGATTCAAACAGAGTGACAAGTACTAGGACCTACCTAAAATGAAACCGATGTGACTTGACCTCAAGGAAAGACAGGACTCTCTGTGCAGACATCCAATATTTAGCATTAAAAAGAGCACTATCAGTTATACTTACCCCAGTTGCAATGGCTCCAGGCCTCCTATGGGTTTTCGTTTGACCGTGAGAAGCAGGCTGGCCTTTAAATCCCCATCTTTTCATGACTCCCTGAAAACCTTTACCAATACTGAACAAAACAAACGTTAGAATTTACATAATACTGTAGAGTGCAAAACATTCCCTAATGTACACTTTCTTGATAATACCTTAGAGTTCTAACAAACTTTCTTATCTAATAAATAGAAAAGGCTACACAAACAAGTCAAAGGAACAATCTTTATCTGCCTCAGCTTGTACTCCCTCCCAGAGTCTAATTCTATGCAAAATGATTGGATGTGTATACAAAATAGTTAGCATAGATATACAGCTATCTTCTATTAGTTCAATGATAAGAAAGGTTTGTACTAAAATTGTTTAGACAAGATGTCTGTGCCTTGTCCTCTGAATAACTATAACGAAAACACTATGCAAAGTATCAATTATTTTAACTGTCCTACTAACCTGTTTTGAAACTGTTTCATTGCTATTTTTTTCTCATTAAATTAATTAACAGATGGATGAAAAGTCCAATGTGGAGTAACTGCTTGAGGTAAAGCTGACCCAGGGAGATGGCTCAGTAGAATAAGCACTTGCCTAGCAAGCACAAGAGCCTGAGTTCAAGCCCTGGTTCCACCAATAAAATAAAATAAAAATAATAATAAATAAAATGAATTAAAAAAAAAAGATTGTGAGACAACAGCAAGGTAAGCAAAGGGAGTTTTATCTGAATAGGAAGGAAGTTTCATTGCCATAACCCTGTGTAGATGATAAAGTAAGAGAGGTACAGTTCTAGAAGTTTCAAGGTATTCACGATCTATATAGCAGGCAGCCACTGAGATGGACCCCAGAGATCCCCACCTCCCTGTACTGATGTCCTTGCTCATTCCTCTTCCCTTCCGTTTCAGTAGACCAAGTGACGAGCTTATAATAAAATAGAGCTAAACTGACAAAACACTAGTTCTGAGATTTGGTTACAGAGAGACTATAGTTTTCACCTAGCTGCTCTCTTGTTTGCTAAGCTCTGAATGAAGCCAACTGCCATCATGTAAGCTGTCCTATGGAGAGGCATGCGGCAAGGCTGGTTCCGGCCATAACACCTTGGGCCCTGAGCTCGCTATCACTTTGTGTGCTTGGAGGCAAATTCTCCCCAAGTAGAACATTAAAATGGGGAGCCCTGGTTAACAAACACCCTGAATGCACAGCACCTCAGCCAGACACATTCAGGTAAGTTGTACTAGAATTTCCAACTGCAGAAACTTTGATGTAATAAATGTTTATTATTTTAAGCTATTCTACTTTGGGTGATGTCTATTAAGCAGCAAGAGCTATGTAATATGATGATAATTAAAAAATGAAAATGTTGTGAATGATGAAAAAAATTTATTTTAGAAGATGCCAAATATATCTTGGTTTCAGTACTGAATAGAAGTTAACAGAAAAGCAAAATCAGAAAACAATTTCTTAATAATCTAAGATCTCATTTTTAAATGAAATCATTTTCAGATTTTGTTAGCTAGAGAAGCTTCATATGATGCAAGTAGACACCAAACAATACTAAGGCTCAAGCAGTATTAAAGTGTGTTTCTGAATGTCAAATATATTAGTACAAATGATATAATCCAAGCTCTAGGAGGAACTGTAAGACTATACACAATGTGCTTTCCCATACTCTTAAAACGAAGACTTCTTTGGGCTTTCACTGGAGAACATGCTAACATATTTTTAATGTAACTGTTCCTAACCTTAACAAAGCTAGTAAATTATGAAAAGGGCAAAGGAAAACACCATGCTACTTTCACAAGAACATTGCTATGCATTTGTTGACACAGAATCATCAGAGGAATGGGTTGAAGAAAGCCTACGTGACCAAGACAATATGTTTTAGATAAATCAGGAATTAAATGCAAAAACAATTAAAAATTATGTTCAAAACCTAACAGGTATATATTACTAAGTCATACACCAAAAGTTATTTGTAAATGATTTAAATGTAGCTTATTTCACTTTCTTCCCCTTAATCAACTGAACACACTAATGGTATGTACATAATTTTATTTTTTTTTTAATGAATTTAGTACAGGGTCTACAGGGTCTCACTACACAGATTGGCCTTGTAGTGATCCTCTTGTTTTTAGCCTTCTAAACACTTATAATTCTTAAGGCTCAAAAATTCAAAATAATGCTTAGTCTTCACTAAAAGCTAAAACAGAACTTTAACATGTTTCTGTATTTCTGTAATATCTGTGAAGAAAAGCTAGATAATTAAATAAAAACAAGAAAAAATAACAATAAAACTAAAACAAGAAATGAACTCTAAAAGAAAACCTAGGCATATTTCAAATGTTTCACAAGTCATATAAAATAAAATTTTTACCTAATAGAAAATTATATACAATACATTAACATTAACATATTTTGTCACCCTTACCTATGCTAGTGTTTATTGACAGTAATTTCAAATATTTCCACTTAAAGAATTTTAGAGCATCCTTGCAAAGTAAAACACCTGACAATTTAAAAATAAAAAAAGAAATACCTAGAGAGTCATTTAGCCCTCTGCTGTTGTTTAGCAAGTAACACTGGGGAGAAAAGGGAGAAAGTGAAGGACTGGCAATACTAGCCGAAAATGATCATGTTTCAAAAATACCACATTCAAACACTGGTCATTCTTGGTAGAAAATTTACTAGTACTTTCTAAGTTCTCAAACTGATGCTCTCTTACTTAAAAGGACAGCCTGAGAGCAAGCACCAGTAAAATGCATGCCAGGTAAATTAGGGAAGATAACTGAGCTCAATTTAAGAGTAAATGATTATAAGATGAAAGTGGTATCCTGAAAGGGCTAATTAACTGTCAGCTATTTACAGACTGTTTTTCAATCTAGTTCTAGAATATATCATGTAGTTACACTGTGTACAATGGGAACCTCGTCAATAAATAGCCTTTAAACAATAAAAGCCAAATGACACAACAAATTATTGGTTTGGTTCAGCGTAGGGAGAACAGAGTGCACCTGTTGATCATGGGTGGTACAGGTATGTGCACTGTTACTTCCCTCAGCTGTCACCCAGCTGGAGAGAAATAAAACAAAAACAAGAAATGAACTCTTTAGAAGACCTAGGCACATTTCAAATGTTTCACAAGTCATAAAAAATAAAATTTTTGCCTAATGGAAGACTATATACAACACATTAACACACATCTTGTCACCCTTACCTACTCTAGCGTTTAATCAGTGGCAACAAAAATAAGTCAGTGTAAAAACTAAGTCAAGAAGAACGCAATGTTAGAAATCCCAGTTTCATTTAGAGCAATTACACCTGCTAGACCAAAAGTTCATCAAAAACTTCAGAGGTATCATGTACTTTAGAAGACTAATGACTTGTTTCTTAGCCCATTTTCTTTGATACACTGTAAATGCATGATGAGCAAAAACTACATTATGTAGCCAGAGAATCTGGCTTAGAGAAGACAATAAACTCTGTCACTGGCTACTGCTGTTTCATGGCAAGAAACAGGGCTAGCTTCCTTTAGTGGGATGGTCTCAAAATGGTATGCAGGGTGTGTATAGAGAGAAGCTTGGAATCCACTAACTATATGAAAAGATAAACACTGATAATTCATGTTATTCAAAATGGGCAAAAGCAAAAGACTAGCTTCCTTTAAAGAAAAATTTCAGAACTATGAAAAGGACAACAATACTAATTAAAAAGTTTATTTACTTAGAAGCATTCAGAATGTAAACAAAACAGCTGCAACTTTTCTTTTTTGGAATTACACAGTGGTATTCAGTTAACAGAATGACAATTATTTTGTATAAGCTGAATCAGACATAACTGAAGGTGAAAAGCTACTGTCCCCATATATAACTAATTTGTGCTGTGCACCAACAAGAACCTGCTTTAAATTTCCATGTCAATGTACAACCCCCATACTGTACCAGGAAAGGATAGTGGCTATTGAAAATACCACCAGGGCAGGACTATCTAAAGACACATTTGATAAGTGTGTTAACTATACAAAAAAGAAAGTCCAACTTTGGGTTAGCATTTACAGTGAAGGCAGTAAAAGTACTGGCTATATATTCCTTTACCCATGGTCTGCTCATGAAATGTAACTGGTAAGTTTTAAAGTTGGGCACAAATTAGAAAAGGAATAGATATTCTATACTGCGATCTGCCATTTAGACATGAGAAAAAAATACGAGTTTCACATCTTAGTATGAATAACCCAACTTATTTGAGTTTTTCCTTACATAACTTATTAGAATCATGTTTATCTGCTTAGCAGTTTAAGGGAAAAAAATGGCAATTTTGTGGGCTTTGAGATTATTGCTCTTTAAGTGCCAGTGTTTTAAAATAGTGTTCTTGTGATTTTACACACTTTTGTGATGAAGTGCTGCTTTGTTATATAATTTTAACTTGGACTCTTTCCATTTGCATTTGTTTATGTAATTTCTGGAGGAATACTGAACATCTGAGTCCTGGATGACGCTAATAAACTAACTGCAGAGGTTTTGTTTTTTGTTTTTTAAAAAAAACTGTTATGTAACAGGAATGCTAGGATGGCCTAAAGAGACGGGAAGGGGGCATGAGCTCACAGGTGTGATGCTAAGAACCCTGCAGCAGAAAATGTACAAGTTAGTGTTTCCTAATGCAGTCTATAAATTGTTACAGATAACTATGTAGACTTTAATCCCTCGACATTTTGAAACAAATGCCCAAAAGGGTTCTCATGTAAATCCATCACATTCTTTTCACTTTGCGGGGCAGTGCCTTTCATTGCATGCTTCTGAATGTAGTAGTATATTGGAGACAAAATAAAATGTCCATGAGAGGAGTGACTGTACACCTTCTGAGGCCCATCCAGTCTCAGTCCCTTGCAAATTCCCTGTGAAAGTCCCATGCTCGTCTCTTGCTCACCACGGCTTCTCCAGCCTTCTTTCTTCTCCATTATTTTCATCTGTGAAAAACAAAACTGTCTTTTCTGCAATCCACCACCCTCTCCAGCTATTATTCCTATGAGATATCATGCTATTATATTTTAGATTCAACTATATGCTTTTAGTTTTAGAACAATAAAAATAACCT